TTTAGATTTGCCCATCCATTCATTTCTCCCAACTCCAGAGTTTACTAAAAGCCAGGAGAGTTCCCAGAGAAAGGAAAAGCAAAACAGGAATAAGCAGAGGATTGAGGCAGAGGTTGCTTTTGTTTCCCTGATTTTTGTTTTTTGTTTAAACTCTGGTCCTTAGACATTGGGCAATCCTCCCCATGCCTATTTTAAATCTGATAAATAAAATTACCTTTCGATACAGTCAAAGCTGGTGACCACTGGGACCGCAGGATGTCAAGACAAATACTCCCATTACTGTTTATATTTGGGTGGTATATTTTTGTTGTGAAAGCAATCTATACATAAAAAGAAGAACAAAAAGTGTTGATCGTTACAAACTATGAACAAGCAGAACCGATCCACTCAAGGGTAAAATGTGCTGCTCAACTTTACCCAGCTTTGGGACAGAAACATCTACATGCAGCTTAGCTACTGGGGAATTTGAAGGAGACCAACTCAGCTTGACCTCCTTCCCTCCTCCAGGTGTTGGGAAGCGTCTGGGGTGTAATGAGGATGTCCGCAATAGCTGGTGTGCCTGGCGGAGCGGCACCTGGACCAATTGCTCTGGCTTTCATCACACTTCCGAATACTCCTCTTAACCCGCCCGCTAGTTAATTCCCAGCAGGCCACCTGGATCTATAAACAGGTCACCAAGTCTGTCAGAGCACAAGCGAGATGCCTCAGCTGGTCACCTGTCCTGTAAAACCCACTGAGATTCGGAATCTGACAAGAGCCACTCACTGTCCTGTGATGTCATCCGTATGATTGTTAAACCAGGTGCTTTAAACGTGCTATAATTAAAGGACAATCAGACTGCAACCCACAGATCCAGGGAGGCTACATAGCAGGGGGGACCCTAAGATGACTGTGGCTTATAAGTTTAGGTTTTACTCAATCACTTGGGCAAGATTCGGTGAGACATTTCACTATTAGGATAAGAATTTGTACTGTATCAAGCTGATGATAGAAAAAAAATAATAATAAAATAAAATTTAAAAAAGTGCTATAATTATTTTCCGATCAGCTGATGTTCGTTCTCCGTCCTTCACACCCCCATCACTTGCTTCTGCTTTGGACTCTAAGGCTCAGAGTGTGTTTTCATCCCCTTCTGCCATTCAGTGGCAGCTCCTCTGTGGTTCCCACTGTGAGGGGACATGGTGGATGCTCCATATACGTTCACTGAGTACTTCAAAAGAGAAAACAGAGCCCTCTTTGGAAAGATGACCCTGGACAGAAAAGCCTGATTCTTGACTATAAAAACATTCCAGACTCCACACACGTAAGGAGGAAAAGCCCACAAGCCTAACTTGGTAGCCAATGCCACTGTCTGTCTAACAGGCAAAGGGAAGTACTTGACTACGGAAGGGTGTTTTCTAGTTTATATTTATATCAATCTGGAGGCTGTACAAAGGAGGTGGCCCTCGCTAACCTACCCCACAGTCTGTGACATCACGAGACCATCTCTAGACAAACAGTGAAACCCCCTGTAACGTCCGTCACAGAGATAAATACCTTTGGCGGTTTAAAGGGATAGTCTGTCGGAAAGTGCACAGTGAGGAAGAAGACTCCACCTTGGTACGCACTGTCAGGCTGAAATCACACAACAGGGCGCGTCAGTGTCCGGCCACAACATGTGTACGAGTCTGAACGATTCCGAGAGGGAGATGGCCGCATCTTCTCAACAACGCCGTCGAGTAACAGCTTGTCAAAAACCATGATCCTAGCACCCCCGTACGTGTAAGCAATTTACCTGGAGAGCAGGCTCCTTTCCAGGCAGGAAGTTTTCCAAGGTGCCCACCAAGTTTAAAGAGAAGCAGACATGAACAGCAGTGCGATTTTAACCAAACACATCGTTTATGGGTACCAGTGTAGACGCGAGGACTGCTGTGAGGAAAGATCATTTTCTAGAGCAGTCACTAGCAAATTTTTAAAGGTTAAGATTAATATTTATCTTTTTTTTTTTTAATTTCCAAATTTTAAGTTCCAACGTCCACTTAAGTACGACCAAAAGGGAATAAGTTAGTAAGAGGGTTAAGGGGCACCATCGTGCACCTTACCCCCAAGTTTCATTTGCTAGTACTTCATATTGTAGATGATAAAAGCCCCAAACCCAGCGGGGTGAATTCGGCATTCATGATATACGGAATTAAGCATCACCTTTACCAAAGGAATTCAAGCTTGGTCACCTCCTAAGTGGCCGTAAGGGAAATACACACCACACACACACACACACACACACACACACACACACACACACACACACACGAGAAAGATGAAAGGTAAAAAACAAAAACAAAAATAGCAGCAAAATATACCTCCAATTCTATTTGAATTCCTTCATATTTACTGGGATGCATCATGGGTAATAAAAGCAACCCTGTTATTCTTTCCCTGCTTAAAGTTCTGCATAAAGATTTGAGCATTGTATTATGTAATTATTCTTACTATGTTGCTTAATTCTAGTTTAGTAAATATAAAAAAAAGGTCAACAAATTACGGAGATAAGCATGGTCTGCGTGGACAGTCAAGTGATATTACAGAGGGTGGTGGAGTGTGTTTATGCTCCTAAAATAAGAGAGGCATGCAAAACAACATCACAATTGCTTACTACCCATGATTCACCTGAGAAATACCATGGAGGCCCCGGCTCTGATGGCAAGGCACACCTCGAGATGACGGGAAGGTTCGTAGCAGATAACAAGCATCAATCAGAAGGAACTAGCTTCTTATTGAAAGCTGTTAGGTAAATATGGTGCATTTTCCCCTCTAACATAACAACTTAATAGAATAATTGAGTCATTTAGGATAATTCCTCAGAGACTTTTCTTTGAAATTCAGCATTTTTTTTTTTCAGTTTGGATATGAGGGCAAATGATTTAAAACTCCACGTCTGGGTAGATAAGCACCCTAGGGGAAGTATGTATGGCATTCAGGAAGGATATTGCTAGCGGGTTCTCTCATCCAGAAAGCAGACTGGAACAGAGTGTCTGATCTTTCACAATTAGCATCATGTTCATAGAAAGAAGAGCCCATTTCAAGCCCTTGATGCTTCTCAGATGTAGAAATATAGGTAACAAGGAGGGACCAGTTTAGGGCAGCAGAGTAAACTCAAAAGGTGACAGAGACCACCCACAGCAGGACTCCACTTCTTCGGCAGTCAAGAGCCACGATGAGACCTACTGCAAACAGACATCGGCCAGGTGGAGCAATCCCATTCCTGGGTCAGACTTATTTCAAACCTATGAGAGCCGTGGGTGGGTGAGGAAGGCTCCACTTCCTTGAAAAACAGTTGATGCTGTATTGAAAAAAAAAATTAATAAGGCCAACACAGACTGTTTGCACAGAGAGCGTGACCTTGCTGCGTAACGGGGTTGGTATGAGCACAGGAAAAATATCGCTGTGACCCAGCAGGTATTTGCCAGCTCTGCTTTAGAGAAAAATCACTGCAAACCCTCAATCATGTTTTTGCTTCGTGGGTGATTCAGAGGATGAGAATAGTCAACCTGAGTCATAAGCATCTGCTCACAGGTCAAAAGGCAAGAGTGAAGAGCGGCCACGGAGGGGTGGGGGGGGTAGTCCACACGTGTAAGTTGTACTTACGGGCCCCATGATGGTTGCTTGCCAGTGGAACACTGAAACACAGAGGGACAGTAGTCACTTAAAGCTGCCCAAAGCCATCCTTTCAATGGTAGCACAGCCCGGCAACTGAGTTAACTTACGGTCATCTCCCACAGGTCCCGCGGAGCAGTGAGCAGGTGGATCACGCTGTAAATCACTTAATTCCTGAAGGAAAGCAGAAAATACTTGCAGTTAATCCTTCCCTTTCCGAGGAAACAGGCACGAAGAACCCAGAATGACGCAGACGAGTGACGTCTCTTTAAATGATTTTAGGTTAATTCTGTTCACAATGGACTCTGCCAATGAGATAGCTCCAGCCTCTGAAAAGATGAAGCGGAATAAAACAGTGTGTTGCTTTAAGATTCCCCACACAAAAGCACTTTATTAGCATCTCCTTATGCAAGATTATATACGTCATTGCTACGCAGATGATACCAGCAAAGCAGGTCCTGGCTGGCACTGGAACTCATGCCATGAGCTCCCCAGGTTTCATGTCCAGCCCCCTAAAAACAAGGTCTGACTTCCAGTAAGTGACAATCTCATGAGGTGGGAGCAAGGGTTTGGGAAGACGGGTACTTAAGGAATGACTTGAAGGATCCAAGGATCTGTTCATAGGATCTGTCCATAAAGTACTTGCTGCACAAGTATGGAGACTTGAGTTCAGTCTCCAGCATACATGTGGAAAGTCAAGTGCAAGGATGCACGCCCATAATCCCAGCACTGGTGAGAGACCGGAGGATCCTTGGGTTTGTTGGTCAGCCAGCCCAGCTGAACTGGTAAGTTCCAGGTTCAGTGAGAGACTCTGCCTCAAGAATAACATGGGGCTGGGTGGTGGTGGTACACGCCTTTAATCCCAGCACTCGGGAGGCAGAGGCAGGCGGATCTCTGTGAGTTCGAGGCCAGCCTGGTCTACAGAGCGAGATCCAGGACAGGCACCAAAACTACACAGAGAAACCCTGTCTTGAAAAACAAACAAACAGCCGGGTGGCGGTGGCGCACGCCTTTAATCCCAGCACTGGGGAGGCAGAGGCAGGCGGATCTCTGTGAGTTCGAGGTCAGCCTGGGCTACCAAGTGAGTTCCAGGAAAGGCGCAAAGCTACACAGAGAAACCCTGTCTCGAAAAACAAAAACAAAAACAAAAAACAAAAAAAAAAGAAAAGAAAAACAAACAAACAAACAAAAAGTAACATGGAAAGGAATTGAGGAAGACATCTGACACCAATCAACATCTGGCCTTCAAATGCCCACACAGGCATGTGTATTCGAACTCGCGTACATATACAACATATGAGTACAGAGTAGGAAGGCGATGTTCTGAAACCTACAGTATTGATTCATGGGCCCTTCTCTATCCTTAGGGTTTTGAAGGAAAGAAAGGTCAATGGCAGACATGGCTTTCAGATTGGCCAGCCCTGACCCAGAATCCCAAACCTAAGTGGCTCTACTGCTTTGAAGAAGACACGTAACCTCCCTAGCCTTGGTTGGGAAAGAACTGACCTTCCCCAAATGAGAAAGGTATGACTTCAGTATTAAATACTGGGAACCCACTGGAGAGATGGCTTGGTAGCTAAAAGCAGACATTACTTTTGTAGAGGACCTGAGTTCACTTCCCAGCACTCACACAACTGCTCACAACACCTGTGAGCATCCAATGCCCTCTTCTGGCCTCCACAGGCACCCGCACTTATGTGAGTGCGCGCATGTGCGCACACACACACACACACACACACACACACACACACACGCATGCATACACACATGCACGCATGCACGCATGCACGCACACACGTAACTAAAAATGAATCTTAAAGACAAAAAAGCAGTATCAAAGACCATACAGGCTGGGGATGTAGCTCAGGGGCAGTAGCATGTGAAAGCCCTAGGCTCCATCCTTACCATTACACAAAGAAAAGATTATGTATGAAGAACCCACTTTAGTTTGGAAGGTCAAAGACGGTCTATCCCTGATGACGTCGGTGAAGCTGAACCATAAGGGATGAACGGGTGCTGGCACTGAGTGGGTAGAGTGATACAAGGTGAGCCTGGGAAGGCATGTGGAAGCCAGGCAGGAAACTGAACACACACACACACACACACACACACACACACACACACACACACACAGAACACTGTTTTTTATACAAAGTGCACGGAGATGGGTTTTAAGAAGCAGTGGACTCGGGCTGGAGAGATGGCTCAGGGGTTAAGAGCACTGGCTGCTCTTTCTGAGGTCCTGAGTTCAATTCCCAGCATCCACATGGCAGCTTACAACTGCCTATAACTCCAGTTTCATGTGCCTACACTTGAGAAATACTAAAACCTGAAAGATGTCAGCTCATGAATCAGTGATGATCGCCATCAATTTGGTGTTCTCATAAAGACGCGACCTGATGCACAGCCAGGAGCCCGGTGCAAGCCCAGAGGCTTTCTTTCAAGCCCAGGTCCCTTCAGGGCTTCTTGCTATTTTCATTTGTTTTGTTTTGTTTTTTCTTTTTCCCTTATAAACAAGAAAGAACTAACTCAGTCAGCTCCTCTATTGCTTCACATACAGTTAGTTAAGCAATGGGAGACTCTAGTCTTTGCCTCCACATCCCCCAACTCCCCCCACCCCACCCCCACCCCCATATTTAAAAACAAGGCTTGGACATTTCAGCCTGGGCACCGCCCCTCACCTGGCGACCATGGAAAACAACTTTTGCTTTTCCAGGTGTTGTTAAAATACAGTGTGGCATTACTGGTTCGTCTACAGTTTCCATGACAACCATGGGATACGCTATAGGTCTCCCCAGCCCATAGCAAACGTCCCAATAAATGTTGAGACAATATGGAAGTAGTGCTTGCCAGTTCTCTGGTAGCAAAGGAGGATGGTTTAAACAGCATGAGTGAGTGGGAGAGGAGCCGTTCCCAGTTACAACCCCATCACAGAACGACTGCCTTCTGACCGGGTTTCTAATTTGAGCTTTGGGAAAGGCCTTAAAAATTATTTGTGGAGTCTTCTAAACAACACGAATGTATCCAAACCTCCTCCTCCTCCTTCTTCTTTTTTTTCTTTTAAAGACAAGGTCTCACTATGTAACCCTGCCTACACTGGAACCCATTATGGAGCCTAGACTGGCTCTGAACTTACAGAGATAAGCCTGCTTCTGCCTCATAAATGCTAGGATTAAAAGCATGAGCCAACACGCTCTAAACATTAATGTAAATAGTACTTGTTTGCATTCACTTTAACTAATTAATCAGAAAAATGCAAGTCTCTAACTATGGCTTAAAGGCTATTAATGATCTGTATGTACTCACTTGCATCATGATAATGTGCACATGAATAAATCAGATATAGACACAAATGCTCCCTAATTAATTTTGTTTATTAACAAGACAAGCCAAAACCATATTTTAGCTGCAACAGCCTTGAACCATATTCAAATCTCAAATGTCAAGCTGTTCTTCAAATCTTTTTAAGTATTACATTTAAAAAGATATTTTCTCATTATTATTTTTTTAAATTCCACTTCCTCTTTAGAAGAGAGTGGGTGATGGATGAGAGGAATAAAGAAACGAACCTAACAAGTAAACTCTGCAAAGGGCAGGTTCCTAAAGTGTCTATGGAAAGTTCACCCGCTCTAAGACAGAGCCCACGGAACACTACACAGTCTTAACTCCACTCTGCTAGGCTGTCAGGGAATACAGAAGCACAGCCTCGGTGCACAGGTCAGGCAGAATGACCAACAGACAGGAAGGCTGCAGGACACACATTCCTCCCTCACCTGCAAAAAAAATGCAGATCTTAAATGCAACACAGAGAAATGAGGAGACTCAGGAAATTCTGAGATGAACTAATGAAGTGAAAATATAAAGCTATGAATATACAGCCCATGAAAACTGCATCCCAACACCAAAAACCCACCATTGTCAAAGTCAGCTCAGCAGTCAAGGTAGTTTTGAGGGGACACAAGAGGTCAAGGGTCACTCAGTCATCTGCTCTTTCGAAACTCCCTTAGAGTCCCAGTGGTACTTTCTCTGCTTTACCTGACATTATTACACACCTACTTTTATCATATCATATATTCGATAATAAAAATAATTTAGTGAAATCAATCAAGTTCAATCACCTTGATTACTCGAATAATCAATCACTGTACACTAATCATTTAGCACCAATCAGAAGGTCCCATTATAATAATCTGAACCTCCTTTACCTTTTGCGGCTCTCTCTCTCTCTCTCTTAAATTAAGGCTCTTTTTATTTTACGTATATGAGTGCTCTATCGACTTTGTGCCAGAAGAGGCATCAGATCTCACTATACATGCTTGTGAGTTACCATATGGGTGCTGGGAATTGAACTCAGGACCTCTGGAAGAGCAGCCAGTGATCTTAACCTCTGAGCCATCTCTCCATCCCCTGTGGCTCTCTTAAATGCAGTAATGACATTACTGTGTTGTATTCGTATACTAACAGCTGATTTTCATCTAAACCTTTCATCAAAGAAATACATCAAATTCACTTCCCTTGCATTTATCAACTGGGGCATACTTTTATATTAATACGAAAAATGAAATATGGACTTCAATACGTACAGTAAAACACTTCACACTCACTTGTTTCTTTTCAATCTACTTGCACAGCCTGCAATGCTAGACACTGAGTGACCGGTGTTAATTTTATTGCCTCACTCGTGTGTTTTTGGTATTTTTACTTTCACAATTATTTTAGTAGGTCAATAGAAAATATCTGATTTTGACATACGAACTTTGCATCTGCTCTAAAATTAACTGTCACAGATACCCCAACAGTGTGATTAAAGATTTATGTTTGGAGTGTTAAAAAAATATAAAATAAAAATAATTTAGTGGTGCTAGGGCCAGCAAGGTACAGGCACATGAAGCCACTCCTGATGATCCAAGGTGGATCCCGAGGAACCACACGGTGGAAGGAAAGAACTGACTCATGCAAGCTGTCCCCTGACCTCCAGACTTAGCATGTGTGCACTGTACACATACCCCCATCACACCCAGAATAAGAATGATGAACTAGATACATTTTAAAAAATAATGATAACACGCTAGGGTTAAGCTATCTCTCCACTTGTTCTAATCTTCTGTTCTCGAAGAGTTGACACTATAATTATACAATTTGCTCAGGAATACAGGGTTCTCAGAGGAGCCAACCACACTGTAAATTCACCTTGAATCTCAGACACCCCACAGGTAGTCTTCTAGTGTTTTATGGAACCCTCAGGCTTTAGGCAGGACCCCTTCACAGCCATGTTCAACCCAAAGACCTGGAGGTACTTAAGATGGTTCTTTTTAGACTCATGACGGCATCTACACGAGCACACAAGAGCAAGGCGGTGACTCAAAGTGGGCCAACAAAATGTGCAATGGATGAGACACCCGCCAGACCATGACCTAAACAAAACCATTGTTAGCAGATTAGAATACTCCCATTCACAGCTCAACTGGGACTTGAGCAGGCGGCTCCGTGTGGGAGGGGTGTGTGTTGAAAGACAACTTTGGGGAGGGCAGTTTGGTAATGACTATGACAGTGGAAAATGTATTTGATCCTTGGCTCAGTCACTTACCTCATAGAAGTCACCATGCAGGTACACACAAACACACACACACACACACACACACACACAGAGGATGTTTGGCATAGCATCTTGTCTAAGTACAAAACACCGACTGTAACCCATTGGTCCACCAATAAAGGGATGACTTACAAACCACACACTATGAAATCCTGACAGCCATTGAAAAGAACAACATGGATCCCACAAGCTGACAATGAAGGATGCATTCAAAGAGAGTACACTGTTACAGTCTCCAGATTTATATACTACACACACACATAAAACAAATGATTGAAAATCTACACATGGAGCTACGGGCAATGTATATCCCTAAGATGTCCTGCTACTTCTACTGTGTCGTCTTTTTGTTTGAGAGAGACAGAGAGAGTGTGTCACTACATGGCCCATGCTGGCCTGGAACTTACGGAGCCCCACTTGGCCATGAACTTAAATCCTCCTGCCTTGGTCAGCTTTTTGTACAATTTAAAAGAAATGGAATGGCATTGTTTTCCTTTTCTTTCCTTTTTTAAAATCTCTCTCTATATTTCAAGCATTTTCTCTTTTCATGAAACACTTCTGATAAGACCAGGAAAGACTGAGTGACTGTCATGGACTTTCAGGGTGGATACACCAGAGAATGGGCAAGCCAATCCAGTGTGAGAGCCTAGCTGAGTCCTGGGACAAGGACGAAGTGGGAGAACCAGGAAGCTGAGTGTTCTGTCTAAGCCATTTTCCTCAGGCTAGGAGCTGCACCATGGTAACATAAGCAGTGGACATCAGGGGAACAACATGCATCCACTTTATATATCATGCTGAAATCTTTCTGGAATATTAAAATTATTTCATACTAATTAATGAATGTTGTGGGTGTTGAACCCAAGTCTTGTGTAATCTGGGCAACCACTGAGTTAAGCCCTCAAAGGTCATTATTTTTAAAGATTTATTTGCGCGTGCGTGCGTGCGTGCGTGCGTGCGTGCGTGCGCGCCTGTGTCTGAATGGGGTATGTGCACATGAGCACAGCTGTCCATAGAGGCCAGAAGATAGCATGAGATTCCCTGGAAAGGAATAACAGAAGGTTGTGAGCTGCCATGTGGGAGCTGGAAACTATGCTGGAGTCCTCTGCAAAAGCAGGAAGTGCTCTTAACCCCTGAGCCATCTCTGTAGCCTCAAAGACCACTTTCAGAAATAAAAGTTTTGGAGTCAAATTTGGTTATGTTGAGCTTTGCTGTTGACCTGCGCTAGTAGCTATGAAGCCCTAAGTAATTAATGCCCCGAGTCTCAAGTGCACAGTGGGTCATGTGGGGACATCACCAGTGACCTTGAACTCTACTGAGTTCGAGAAAGGCACATAGCTTAGTATTGGGCACCTGTAATAGATGCTTAATAAATGCTAATTTCTCCTCCCTTTCCTCTTTTGGTAGAATGGTTTTTTGTTTTTTTTTTTTTGCTTTTTATTTTCACTTGTATTTCAAGAGAGGGTCTCACTAGGTCAACAAGTTAGTCTTAAACTTGCCATCCTCCTGCCTCCACCTCTCCAGGGCTGAGGTTACAAACATGTGCACCTCGCCCAACTTGGAATGTTTTTGTTTTGAAACCAAGACCTTCATGCCTCCCATCCGGCATTCCTCTACAACACCTGGCAGGGTGCTTTCGACACATACATGTTTGGTGTTATTTGAGTCATGTTTCGATCAAATTTCTGAAGAAATGGGGAATGAATACATTTGGCAAACAAAAACCACGTAATCCCTTGACAGGTGTGTAGGTTACATGAAGCAAAAAGTTTAGCGGCGACCTGAGAATTGTACAGGTCACTTAACCTGGAATGCCCTTTGTAATAATGTATCATTAAACATCATGGTACCTGAAGATGAATACCAAGATACTATCAACCATTGAGTAGTACCTCACAGGGATTTCTAGTAGATGGTACATAAGTCTCCAAGCCCAGAGGGAATGCCCATTAGAATGTTCTGGGTTTTTTTCCTTGTTTAGAAAACCTCAGAATTCTATTACCTCCTGTTTCTTTGGGAGGCTGTTGATCTACTTTCAGGTCACTGCTTCTGGTGGCTCTTCCCATTGGAGTAAGGGTTTGTGTTGGGCTAACCTCATCTCAAAGTACATGGGACCCTGACCATTGGCAATGCTCAGAGTCAGCAGTGCCCAGATGGGCTGTGGTCTGTGGTGTACATGGATATCTTAAAAGAATGTATTCCCTAATCAGTATAACCACTTGGGCTAATTATAAAAGTTCAAGGGGGAGCCAGGCAATGGTGGCACACACCTTTAATTCCAGCACTTGGGAGGCAGAGGCAGGCAGATCCGTGAGTTCGAGGCCAGCCAAGTACTACATAGTAAGACTGCTGTGGGATGTTCTGTATGTCCTGTGGGAGCCCATTCTCAGGTTCCTTGTGGCGTTACCCAGCAGGTCCGTATAGAGGATGATTAGGACCATG